CAACAATTCATTCTGAATCAATAAAAAGCGAATTAAAACAGCAGCCTACACACAGCCTAGAAAACAATACAATCGCAATTGCAATGCTGTTTAAAGAATTTAAGAAAGACGCATACGAATGTGTGTGTGTCTATGTCTACAGAAATTTTTGCAATTTGCACTTGCTGCCGCAAACACGTGTCAATATAAGCACACATTATTCGTATATTCATAAAAAAAAAAAGTCATTAAAATGTTGGCTTAAATTAATGGGTAGTTTCAATTAATTTTTGTATTTGATTTAGAGCTATGTGGTGGTGGCGTGTGGAAACGATAGCTAGAAAATGAAAAAAAACTTGATCTGTATATACTATTCTAGAATCTACATGTCAAGTTTAATGAGTCTAGCTCTAAAAACCTAAGAGATTTGCCCAAAAAACAGAATTTCGATTTTTATCGATTGCTTGGAAGCGGGCAATTTATCGATAATCGGAAGCAAACTCGTACTGCGCGGGCACAAGGAGGACCTACGTTCCAAATTTCCTATAAGTCTCTAGCTCTTATAGGTTTTGATATCCTTGCGTTTATACACACGGACTGACAGGCGGACGGAGGGACATGGCTAGATCGACTCAGCTATTGCTGCTGATCAAGCATTTATATACTTTATGGGATCGGAGATGCTTGTTTCTGCCTGTTACATACACTTTTACAAAAACAGTATACCCTTTTTACCCATTTTCAATGTGCTCAGGATATAAAAAACGGTACTGTCCGAGCCATTGACGAGCTACGCAAAGCTGGGCAGGTCTGGCGGCTTTGCATTACGAGCTAAAAGCTGACTTTTGGAGAAAGAAATCTTGAAAGCAAACACTGCTCGTGGCTCCCTTCGACATCGAAATGAAGCAGTCTTGCGCGAATCGTGAGGTGGGTTGTCCGTCTTATAATCTTCATGCACGAAACATGGTTCATAAGCCGGGATGAGATGCATTCTTGCCAAGTCAACGCCCTCAAGGATAGCAACGATTCTTCGAAAGCTTTTTAACTCTCACTGGGATTCCCATTTCCAGAAGGGTCCAATTCAAAATTGCAATTTTATGGTTTTAGCGATACGTAAGGCCGCTTAAAGAGCATCTATATACATTCGTATTGATACATTGCATGTAGTTTTAGTCCACTTGCTAAGGGCGAAAACTAGAGTCGCTCCTAAGACACAGCTCTCCTTCCAAAGTTGTATGTTGACAGAACATTTTTTTTAAATTTTTAACTATACTATACTATCTACTAAACTGCTAGCCTGGCTCTGAGGGCCACCAGGCAAATAGACAACCTTCGTGACTAATAGAATCCCTAAAATCACGCAATCCAGAAACTCCAGTTTAAGTGCCTAGGCCCAGAAGGGCTACAATTGTCACAATCTGTCCTGTCAAGCGCAACTTATTAAAGTTGCCTCCCACGTGCAGTATAGTGTATCGTTACTCCGAGTTCGGGAAACCTCTAAGAGTCATGGACTTTGTGTACCGATTCAGTAAACGTCAGAAACTTAATTTTTAGATTCTGAAAGACATCGGCAGCACTGAACTATTCGAAGTTCAAGAGCGGTTACATACACAATGCATTCAGTACCCCAAGGAGTTTCATTTTTTGCTCAACAAGCAACTTGTAGCAAGCTTCAGTGCCAATGTTTATTTACTCGTTTGCTTTCGCATCGCATCTCCCTCTATGGTGGAACCAATTAATGATGAACCTGACCTTTAAATTTCAAAACTCGAAATTCTAGACAAGACCACGATAAACTTCCATCGAGTATGTGGTTTCGCTAGGGCATTCGACATCAAGAACTACGGTCGAGCCTGGGCTATGCGTGCTTCATTGTATGCTTCAGTACACGTGACATACGTTTAAAAGCTACTTCAGATCTCCCGACGAGGATGCCATCAACAAATGTACTCCGATAACAACAAAACGTTTTTTGGAGCCTCCAAAGCCTTATCGCCTTTATGGCAGTCATAAAAACGTACACTTCTTACAACAGCGCTAATAGCCCCGAGGAGGTCCTACAGGTACAGGGTTTGCCGCAGAGAGCATACACTACATCCACATTTGGTGCGAAGCCGAGACAGTCTGCCGATGGGGCGGAACATGCTTGTTTTACCTAACCACATCAAGCATTTAATGGCCCAATGTCTATGTTGCGGCCCAATCAATAGGGTAAGTAAAAGTCTGGCTTAGAAAGTTATTATTGCTCTTCTTGCACATATTAAACAAATTAAAAAATATTTCGTGTTGACGGGGTTAGGATCCCTTAAAAATATTTACTTTGTGTACCGACGTTTAGTCCACCGGGCTACTTAATGCAAAGAATACATATTATAGCATTGGAAATGACAAAGTTCGCAAAAAAAAAGGCATATCGAACTTACTTGCTGGTATATCCCGGCCTCGCAAGAATCTCCTTTGTTGTTACTAATTTTTTACAACGGCCTATTATCCGCTCGTTATTTTAAATTTAATTCTACCCGTACTATTTTCAACTCCACGTCCATAGATGTACTTTACATAGATATTTGAAAATTACTTAAAAATCTATCGGATGATCAACTCAAATTTGAATCAACATTTTCCACCCATTTTAGTCGCGTGTTGGGAATCTTGAGCCAAAAAAACTTTCGATCATATAGCCATTTACCAATCAAAAAAGAGATAGACTTTACGAAGTGTGAAACACGCCTAAATTCATTTTCATAATGTACATTTAAAATTAGCTTTAAGCCGATTGGATGGTGAACAAAAAAGTTGTGCATTTTTTGACCTATTTCCAAAGTTGAATTTCTTAACGTGAATAAATTTAACGCCAATCGATCAAAACATAGAACTTAACCTACAAAATTTTTTGACTGCAGTGTTGAACCAAGAACCCATTGAAATGGGTGAAAGGTGTAGTGTTTTTGTGAAAATTTATATAACAGGCAGAAGAAAACATCTCGAAGCCCATTAAATATATTCTTGATCAGCATCAATACCCGAGTCGATCTAGCCATCTCCGTCTGTCTGTACGTATGTATTTACACAACTGCTTATAGTGCCCGTGCATTACGAGTTTGCTTTCAATAATTGAAAACTTGCAAGCAATCGATATTGAAATGCAATTTTTCTCTCTCTTAGGTTTTAAGAGCTAGAGTCACCAAATTTGAAGTATAGCTTCTTGAATACTTTATATATTTGAAGTATATTTAATTTTATACCACACTCACTCAGGTATATCCACCACTTTAAACCACAATTTTAATTATCTTTTAAGAATATTTGAATATTTGAACGCACAACAAGTTCTATTGCTGAAATTTTATCAAGATCGGTACAAAAACTGAAAAGTAATTTAATGCAATTATTTTTTTGCGAACATATGAATAACACAAAAATATCTACTGCTAAAAACGGTGAAGATCGGTGAGGAAGCAAAGATGTTATTAAAGATAATGTTTACTTATACATAAAACTAAAGATACTTAATATATAACATAAATATACTATTAAAGAATCTCCGTGTCCCATTTCGTGATTCTTTGCTCAAAAAAAAGGAATTCGATATCGATATTTATCGATTGCTTGGACTAGGGCAAATTATCGATTATCAGAAACAAACTCGTAATGCGCGGGTACTAGGAGGACCTACATTCAAAATTTCTCTAGGTTCCACCTGTTATAAGTTTTGAGATCCTTGCGTTCATACATACGGACGGACGGACAGACGGAGATGGCTAGATCGACTCGGCTATTGATGCTGATGAAGAGTATATATTCTTTATGGGGTCGGAGATGTTTGCTTCTGCCTGTTACATAGACATTTTCAATGGGTTCCGGGTATAAAAACAAATGAAATTAAGAATAAATAACTATAATAACTACAATGAGGGCATTTAGTCGTTTTAACAGCTCTCGCACGTCGCAGCTTTGGCAAGTCCAACAAACACAAAAGCTAATTTTCGGAAAGTTATAACATTCATTTTTTTAAATATAAGAGTGCTCTAGTCGTATTTGCTCGACTAGATGAGACCAAAGACAATATAAACACTAAGATGAGTTACGCCATACAACAAAATGCTACTATGCACCTTGATTTTTTGAAAATTGAGAACGAAAACGAAATTAGTATCATTGCGCTCTCACAGCCGAAAGAGCGAAAAGCTAAGAATAGAATGTACCCTCAGCTTCGGCTCTATGAGGGCCGTGCAAGCAATTATGTTTGAATGTGTGAGTGTACATACATAATAGGATATTTGAATGTGTTGTTATTCAAAGCTCTGGCTTTAGCTGGCAAAGAAATAAATGTTGTTAGTTTTCTAGCGCTGATCATGCATGACCTATACCAAATTTGTATTCACATATGAATGCATGTTGTGTACTGAAATTGGCTCCGAAGAAAATCTGTATTTTAAAGTCGATGCAAATATTTATACGAAAACGAAGCGACGCAAAGAACCATCGACCAGCTTTGCTGAAGGCAGGCTGGCGACTAACTTCGTTGCTTGTGTCAGCATCAGCAAGCTTCGACTTCGGCATTCGATCGTCTGAACAGCAGTCGGCTAGCATGTCGTTTGAAGTCGTTAAAGCCAGATGGGAAGCCAGGCTAGAAATTGTGCGTCGCATGCAAATGTAAGGGCGTTACTCATTTTAGTGTTTATATTGTCTTATCTGTTTAATGAAATAAGCAACACCAAAGGATTAAAAAATATTGAAATAAAAGTTACTTAGCTCTATGTGTATTAAATTCGCGACCGAAGTAGTTGTCATCGCCTCATACTTTAAGCCATACCAATAATGGGATTTTTATGGAATAGCACCATTGCTAAGAAAGTAATCAAAAAGATTATGGAAAAATTACGAAAGTGAGTAGTGTTATGAAACTTCAGTTATATATGTAACATCTCATAGCTGTGCCGATTTTGGTATACGTACCCAGGGGTACATCAAGCACAATTTCAGCCGAACAATTTTTTTGAATTTTAAAATGCACCTGCTACGTGCCAGATCAACTTAATAGTTGATTTTAATTGGTTGATATTGACTTATATTTGGAAAAATATGCGCATGATTAATTTTCAACAGCTACAACGACAAATCAAATATTGCACGTTTTGCCAGTACATTTCGTGAGGTTTTGAAGTAAAAGTCCATATAGAGCTCGTTCCATTGGAAGTAGATCGTAAACGATATTTTTTAATTGATAGGGGTCTTGGTGCAAATCATATGCCTCAAGAAAATTCTAGAAGTAATTATAACGTATAAGTTTCGTATTAGACATTTTAGCATTCCACTTAGTTACCTCAGTATCCCGGAACTCACAATATATGCGATCGAGGTTGTACCGAAAATCACGAATACACGTGTATGTATTGTTCCATGAATCTTGACAATGACAATCTGCATCCGGAGTGCATTGCGCTAAATGGTCAGTTCGATTTCCTGGGCAAGCCGGATTATATGTATCATCATTACCTTCACCCCAATACTCAATGAGCAATATGCGTTGTTTGGAAAATTGCTGCTTTTTATTTGTCTGGTGCACCTGTGACAACTCACTTTTAAAAGAGCGACCATCTATATAATTTGGGACCGGCAAACCGGCCCATTCCAGTATGGTAGGCGTTAGATCTACCAAACTGACAGCCATGTCCATTAAGCGGCCAGCTGGTACGCCTGGTCCACGGATAAGTAATGGCACTTTGATGTCAGTATCATAAGGTTGTCGTTTATCAAAAGGCTGTGCAAATTGGCCCAAGTGGTAACCATTATCCGAAGTGTAGATGATGTAAGTATTTTCAAGGCATTGGGTTTCATTAAGCACTGTTATCAATGTCACCATCATTTCATCAACCGCTAGCAGCGTTTCCCACCGCCTCTGAAAATACTTATCTATTGTGAAGACCGAGTCATTTGACAAATGTTGAGCTGATCTAACCAACCAATGTTTATCTGTGGAAAGAATATTAGCATGGATATAGATTAACGCAACATACGTACTCTTATCGGGAGCGTTAAAGCTAGGAGTGCGCAACGCTCGTACATGAGGAAATACACCTTCATGACGCGGGGCTGGTGTGAAGGGTGCGTGAGCGGCTGGTGGAGATACCATTGCAAAAAATGGTTTTGGATGATGATTCATTGTCGAATTTCGAATAAATGCTGCCGCTTTGTCCCTCAACAGGTCCGTCAAATATATATCCGTAAAGCTCACATTTTTTGTGTTTTCACGCAGTGTATAGTTATAATAACGCGAGTTCCCGTGAAGGCCATAAAACTCATCCCAGCCGTTCGGAACTTCAGCGCCTTTAAATTGGTTTAAATATTTTCCAGCAAAGAATGTTTGATACCCATGCTTCTGTAACAGCGTAGGCAATGAGCGTGGCTCGAACATTTTACGCCAGTAAGGCCCATTGCAGCCACCACTTAATGAATTATTGATTGTCCTATGGTTGTGCGCATACTGTCCAGTTAACAGGCTTGCTCGCGCGGGACAACAAATCGGCGTACTAGTAAAGGCATTGGTAAATTGTGTGCCATACTTGCTCAAAAGTTTCGAAGTTTGTTGAAGTGGATACAGACCGTGTAGTTCTACATCTTGATCATCACTCAGTACTAAAAGCACATTTGGTGCGGGCAATATTTGCATGAATCCAAAGGCATGGTAAAAGTACAATACAAAACTAATTCTCACGAGAACCTTAATCTATTTTGGGAATAAAAAGGAAACATAACAAAGCAAATTAGAAATTTCAATTATACTCACCATTGTATGTTTTGGCTATTCTACGTGCGTCAAATTAGCATAGGTCACTTAGCGTTGATTTTCGGAACATGGCTCCGGAGTCCACACATTTATAAATGCATTTTTTATAATACACAAACAAATACATTTTTAAGCGGAATTGTAAAATAATAAACTATTTACTGTTTATATTCATGTGTTTTAAATTTTAGCTTTAAATATTTGGAAGCCATGGGGTTAATTTATTAGATGTTACCATTCATTTATTATTCTAATATTAATGGCCTAAATAATCGATCAGAACGAGACATTTGTATAAATGTGCATCCAACCTCTTAGCTAACCCCATACAAAGCCACCGTAAAAAATTAGCCTTGCTATTGAAGCCTAAAAATCTATTGTCAACGATAATCACGCTTAAATGTTTTAGGAAGCTTAAGGCATTAATTCAAAGTGAATTGAACAGCCAGTTTTTAACAAAAATATTTGATTTCAAACACATCTTATGATATTCATTAAAGAAGTGCATTGCACAACTAGTTCCCGCATGAACTGAACCACTGCTAAGATTCAGTGTTGAATAATAGCTCTAACCAAATAACATATAGACTGGTCAAACCGTACATTTGGTGGTGACAAACGTTTTAAGTGCGGCTGGTCCAAAGTCGCCTTCGTTTTTGTTCGGGTTCGAGACATGCCCGCATGCTCTCACAGCAAGAGAGTAAGAATCCATATGGCCTGTGTCGTGGAACGGCATCGCTGTCTTTTTACTCGCTCACTCTAAAGGAAACTGCTTTGGCATACTCTCATCCATATGATTTGTGCGATAGAACGGCATCGCTGTTTTTTATCTCGCTCCCACTACAGGAAACTGCTTTGGCTTACTCTCAGTGCTCTTTCAATTTGTCTATGTACCGTTTAAATGTTTGTGTCCGCACAAGCAATAATGCCCACAAATTCAATTTTTGTCAAAAGTTGGTGGCATTTCTTTCCTTTTGAGGGGACGAGTAATATGAAATAATGAAAGGGTTTGCCAAGTCCATGCGAAATTCTTTCATTTTAGCTCGTTCTTGTTCGAAAGGGTATCTAAGCGTTGGCATGTGTGCATTTAAAAGTTTTTGGACTTGCTATTCACGCATACTTGCATATTTCGTATATGAATAAAAGCATTTGTGCGCACGTGTGCCTGTTGGTCCCGCCTGCCTGTCCGATGGAAATTTGTCAATATTTTGTGATTTCTGAATTTCGAGCTCTACACACACACATACAGACACAAATGTGTGTGAATGGGCAGATCATGGGCGCAAAATTTTAAAATATCATTATTGGCACGCGTCTGACGCGCGCCCTTCTTTTTTTTATGATTTAGGGTTAGAATTGAATAACTTGAATATGATAATTCAATAAAATCATTAATACAATAAATATATAATTGAAGATTTTAATTTTTGCACAAATATCCGCTGGTCATAAAATTATTTAAGTGATCGGGCACTTGACCCATGTACATACGCAAGTGCAGGTGCTTGCCAAAAGTTTACCCTTTCGGCCCAACGGCCTTCTGCAAGTAATAAGGGGTCAACATTCATTCATCAATTCAAACCCTAAATCATAAAAAAGAAGGGCACGCGTCAAACGCGTGCCAACAATGATATTTTAAAATTTTACGCCCATGATCTGCCCATTCACACACATTTCTGTCTGTATGTGTGTGTGTAGAGCTCGAAATTCAGAAATCCCAAAATATTGTCAACAGCCACACATGCGCATAAATGCATTTATTCATATACAAAATATGCAAGTATGCGTGAATAGCAAGTACAAAAACTTTTAAATGCACACATGCCAGCGCTTAGGTACCCTTTCGAACAAGAACGAGCTAAAATGAAAGAGTTTCTCATCGACTTGGCAAACCCTTTCATTATTTCATATTACTCGTCCCCTCAAAAGGGAAGAAATGCCACCAACTTTTGACAAAAATTGAATTTGTGGGCATTATTGCTTGTGCGGACACAAACATTTAAACTGTACATAGACAAATTGAAAGAGCACTGAGAGTAAGCCAAAGCAGTTTCCTATAGTGGGAGCGAGATAAAAAAAACAGCGATGCCGTTCTATCGCACAAATCATATGGTAGAGAGTAAGCCAAAGCAGTTTCCTTTAGAGTGAGCGAGTAAAAAGACAGCGATGCCGTTCTACGACACAGTTCATATGTATTCTTACTCTCTTGCTGTGAGAGCATGCGGGCATGTCTCGAACCCGAACAAAAACGAAGGCGACTTTGGACCAGCCGCACTTAAAACGCTTGTCACCACCAAATGTACGGTTTGTCCAGTCTATATGTTATTTGGTTAGTGAATAAAGTAATCGAATGGGATCATGCTTATTTTTTTGACGACTGGTCCAAACTCGACTTCGTTTTTGTTCAGAGAATAAGAAATACTGATGATTTGTGCGATAGAATAGCATCGCTGTTTTTTTATCTCTCTCACACTACAGGAGACCTCCTTGGCTTACTCTCAGTGCTCTCAATGCTCTTTCATTATGTCTTGGGAACGTTTAAATGTATGTTAGTGTATATATCCGCACAAGCAACAATGCGCACAAATTCAATTTTTCTCAAATGTCGGACGTAGTTCTTCCCTTTTTAAGGGACGAGTAATATAAAATAATGAAAGGATTTGCCATGTCGATGCGAAATTCTTGCTTTTTATATCTTTATTTTTGGTATGCCCTACTTAAGCGTTGGCGTGTGTGCATTTACAGTTTTTTTTAAATTGCATGCGTTTGACGCGCGCCCTTCATTTTTATGATTTCGGGCTTGAATTGCTGAATGAATGTTGAACCCTTATTACCTGTAACAGCCCGTGCGGATAGGGTAAACGCTTACGTGACTGATCACTTAAATGATTTTATGTCGTTAAAAGTGCTAGAAAAAAATTTAATATATTTTGCTCAAATATCATAGGTCGGTAATAGTATTTATGTTGAACGATACACAAGTGTTAACTTCTGCATTAAAAATTATTAAGCTAACTATGGTTAGTAATAAGTAGTAATAATTATTGATTATTATCCACAATACTATATTCCATCTGTTTACTGATAAATTGCACTGTAAACAGAGTATTTTCGAGTAGGTTGCACTCAACTGTTAAGGTGTTACTGTTATTGCGTACATAAATGTAATAATTTTGGTGTTCTGCCCAAGTATAAAATCCAACTATAAATACATTTTCGATCACAACATTTGCATTTTTTGGCCAAGCACAATTGGAAATATACATACATGATTATATTCCTCAAAAATACATATTGAACTGAGCAATTCCGGGTGATGCCGAGCGAACACAAATACATATGTATGTATACACATACATACATGCATACATTCTTTAATATGCATCCGAATGTGTAAATTTAAAAAAGTCATATTATTGTGACAACAGCTGCTTATGAATATATACATATATGTATATACATATATGTATATGTGTATATTTATGTATGTATGTATGTTAGTGGGTATGTATACAAAAACACATGCTTGAATTACTATAATCAGTGTTAGTTTGTCCCTATCAAGAGCGATTCATAAGTGTTAGTATACACCGCATGTCTTTATCAGAAACTATTATCAGCCGACGAGTCATTTAGTTATTTCTCATTCAGTTGTCTACGTCGTTTAGAGCAGATACTTTATTTGTGTTCACGACGAATGCCATGTTCAACGTCAACCAAAGTAAAAAATGTGTTATATTGGACTGTGATGGTGGGAGCGACGATGCTTGGGCTCTGCTGCTGCTTCTCCGCGCAGAACAGTGCGGAATCCTTCAGTTGCTGGCAGTAACCATCACCGGTTGTGGTAATACAACATGTGAAAACGCGGCACGCAATATGAGACGAATTCTCATAGCTTGCTCCAGGAAAGATGTAAGTACAAGCATGCATTAAAAATATAAAATTTTCGAATGTGATAGAATCGTTCTAACTTTTCAGTTTAAAATTTTTTCATTGTTTTTTTTTTTGCAAATTTACATATGCATATGTACATCACAATAAACAAATGAGTTGCTTTAGCTATGTCCGTCTGTGCGAGAACGTGTCGATCTCTGAGATTATATAAGAATATACATATATAGAATATTTAATATAGAATATTAAAATAAGGTTTTCCTAATTTACGCGCAGGCAAGTTGTATTTTGGTTAACTATAACTCCCACATTTCCCAGAAATCAATCATTTAATTTTCTTTAAAATATAGATTTCAACTTCTCTCACGCACTTTTTTTACTTTTTAAGGTAAAGTTATATGCGAGATTTATTAGAGCAAAATGATAACAAGTAAGAGTGCTTTATATCAACACTATTGCAGATTTTTTTGTTTTGGGCGTACGTTTTTGCAATCATATCAATTAAAACAATTAAATATACTGATATACATATATAATATAATGAAAAAAAATAAGAAAAATCAGATATCTTCAGCAGAACAGCCCACCAATTTAAGCACTATTTTAATGAAAATGTCCTTTTGAGAATATTTGAATATTTTTTAGCACAATATGATCTGCTGAAGATTTCAGCATTTTCAGTTTCATGGAATACGAATTCGAGTCAAATTGAAGGAACTTTTTTTAAAAATATATTGTCTTTTGCTGTAACAAACGAGCTTGTAGCGCAGGTTAGTGATGAGGGTTCAGGCTATCCCTCAGTTATGAACTCTTTACTAGAGCATTTTACTTGTTAATGAATGTTAGAGCAAACGAGCGCGTAGCGCCAAGAAGGTTCAGGGTATCCCCTAGTCGGGCACGACTAGACACTCTTACTTTTTATATATTTAATTTGTTTTCATTAATGCAAATAACTAATATTTGCACAAACTTACGCTCACAACAAAAATGAATTTTGCCAGTAGAGCTGTTAATCCAAAATATTTATAATCTTAGTGCGGCCTTAGTGGCCATCGCAAGCAGTTTCACGCAAGAAAAAATGTGGCAATATACATATATTATATTTTAATGTGTGGAAGTGTGCGCACATGCTCACCCGAAATAGTTTTCATGCAACCCTGCCTACGTCCAGGTACCCTTAAGAACATAGAGTAATAAACAGATACAGAGCTGAAAACTCACTCCGAGCTTTTATTACCGTTTTAATTCTGAAGCAAGCTCTATAAGATTGGTCCGCAAACGCAAAATCAAACTCAAGAAATAAACCTCATTTACCATAGGAAGCAACAACAAATCAGCTGCAAAACAACAACAGTGCCCATGAAACCCCATTTTTTCTTCGTCTTCCGTCTTGATTGCTGAAATTCTGAAGCAAGATTTTAAGGACATAGGAAAATCAGTGCAAAGAAATGGGACAGATAATGCCACTGTGTTTGTTGCTGGTTTCTCTGTCGTTGCTAAAAGGCAGAGCGTAGAAACAACAACAACACAATTTGTGTACTTGCAGAATCGAGTCCCGGCGCAAGTAGGTAGAAAACTCGAATGCCAGCAGGCCATGGCATTCAAATCAAAGGGTTACGCACACGGCGCGTTAACATAAAAAATGATGACGTCACATTTTATAGAATTTTATTTCTTATGATGTTTAGTATATATTTCTTCCTTTATTTATTTATTAATAGTGTCTTTAGTAATAATGAATTTATTTAAAAATTTATTAATTTATTGTACGCAACGGTCGTACACAAAAACCAATCTTCTCAAATTTATATTCTTTCCTTGGCTTGGTAGACACATGCATGCAAATTTGCACCAAGATGTGCGAGTTGAGACACACATACCAACAACTATTTGGTGCGTCGAGGCTTTGATACCCTTATTTATAGAAATGGCATATAATGTTTAAAGAAAACTATTATTAATAACATTTTACATACATTATTTTACACGTCTGCGCTTTTTGACGTGGAGATTGTTACTGAGGTTGTTTGGCTGTTTAAGAGGTGTCTGTACAAGTGAGCGCAATTTTCTGTGTCTGTCTTGTAGTTTAATCGTTTGTTGGTTGGTGTGTTGATTATGTGTAGCATTTCCAATGTGTGTCGCTTGTTATAGTGTTGTTCTTGTTGTAAGATTGTTGTTTCATCAAAATTTGGTGTGTGGTTGCTTTTTATACAATGGGTCATAAGTGCTGTTTTCTGTATATTATTTTGATGTCTTAGTTTGAAGTCCGATTTATGTTGACTAATCCTTGTTTTTAGCTTCGATTTTGTTGTACCTATGTAGACACTATTGCACTTGTTGTTGTTTTCCCCGCCACATGGTATTTGGTAAACGACGTTGCTTTTGTCGCTCATCGGGATTTTCGACTTTATCTTGTTAAAGAATTTTTGTAATGTATTCGTCGGTTTGTGTGCTACTTTTATATCTTCTTTGTTATAACAGTCTGAGTTTGTGAGGCGTTCTGATAGTCGTGGTACATATATTAGTGATTTGTATATTTTAGCAGGTTCTGTTGGCTTTTTTCTTTCGATTTGTCGTCTTTTTAATAATGTTTTGATTATATTTGGGGGAAGTCATTTTTGGTCAAGAGTTTTTTGATTTCATGTTCAATTTCTTTGTGGTATATTGTGTCCGATATGTTCATCATTCTATTCATACAGCCTAGTGCTGTATTGATTATCATACTCTTTGGGTGGTTTGAATTGAAGTTGAGTATTCGTCCGGAGGCTATGGGTTTCCTATACCACTTTATTTTGAGTTTGTTGTCCATTCTGCTTACAATAGAGTCTAAAAATGGTAATTTCCCGTCCTTTTCTAATTCCATTGTAAATTTGATCTGTTTGTGGAAGGAATTCAATTCTTTTAGAATATTTTCCACGTCTATTTTGTTCGTTATGGCAAAAAGGTCATCTACATATTTGGTCAAGAGTCTTGGTTTTATTTTTAATTTATCTGTAATCTTGTCCAACAGTTCCTCCATTAATATATCTGCGATTACTGGGGAAGCCGGTGATCCCATTGGCATTCCTTTTAGTTGTGTGTATATTTTGTCTTCGTATTTGAAATATCTGTTTTCCTGTATGCAAAATCTAACTATGTCCATAAATAGTTGTTTCGGTATACTCGTGTGCTCTTCTAATTTGGTCCATTTTTGTCTTATTGTGTCAAGTGCTAATTCTATTGGTATGCTGGGAAATAAGGATACTACGTCAAAAGATACTAATGTTTCCTCTTCTCTAATCTGGGAGTTGTTAACTCTGTCTTTAAAATCTACCGCGTTCTTGATGTTGTACCTAGAGTCCATTGTCAGATTTTTTAATATTTGTATTATATATTTGCACAGCCCGTAAGATGGAGATCCGATGGAAGAACATATTGGTCTCAGTGGTGTTCCTTCCTTGTGTATTTTTGGTAGTCCATATATCCTCGGAGGTACCGCTGTTGTTGTAGTCATCTTATTTCTTTCGTCCTTTGAAATAAGACCCATCTTGAATAATTGTGCTACGAAGTTGTTATTCTTTGTCTGTAGTCTTGATGTCGGATCCAGTCTCAGTGTTCTATACGCGCATAAGTCGTCTAAAATATTTGTCATTTTATTTTTATATTCATCCTCATCCATTGCTACGGTTTTGTTGCCCTTATCCGACGATAGAATTTTAATATTTATATTTTCTTTCAATAATTTTCGTGTCTGTTCCACTGTGTCCAGTATTGCTCGATCCCTACTGTTTTGGTTGTTCTTGGTTTTATGCTCTTTGACTAACAAAGAGAATTTTGTGCGCGCCGACTCTTGTGTTTCCTTTTCTTTTATGGTTTGTACTAGCTCCTCACCGTCTGCGATGTATTTCAAGAGAGGAAAATCTTTCTTGCTGATTGGGAGAGCGAACTTCGGCCCTTTTGCGAGTAACGCTACGACGTTTGGCGGGAATTCTATTTTTGTTTTGTTTACGAACCACTCTCTTTGAGTGTTGTTGTCCGCTAAGGTTAGGTTCCGTTGATCTCGTAACTTATCGTGTTTCGTTTCTTGTCTTTTCTTAAGTGTTGTTGTTATTTTGTTTTCTATATTTTTCTCGCTCTCAAAAAACGCTTTTGCGTCATCTGTGGTCATCAGTTGTTCTATGTTTGTTTTTGTTTTTTCCATATGTTTTGCTTGTTCTTGTAATAGGTTGTGTTTGTGTTTTATAAGTAAGTTTAATATTTTGGTATGGTAAAAATGTGTGTGTCTAGTCAATGCTCTTGTTATGTCAGGGTGGGTTTTATTGTCAGTGGTCAGTATGGTCAAATGCTGTGTCAAGTTTTTGATGAAGTTGGGTATTAAATTTGATTTTCTACATTTTAACAAAAATTTTAAACTAGATTTAAGTTTAGTTAATTTTACCAGTGTTAGTTGGAATTTATTAATTGTTCTTTTGGAATCCTTGTATTTAGTTTTTATTTTTGCGTAGCTCATGCCTTCCGTTGATATTTATTGATGGCTCTGGCGACCTTTCCATATTTCAAAATATTTTGTTGGCTGGCTCGAGGTCCGTGTTTGTTAAAACAAACAATGAAAAACAATTTTATTGTTTGTACAATTGTACAGACACCTCTTAAACAGCCAAACAACCTCAGTAACAATCTCCACGTCAAAAAGCGCAGACGTGTAAAATAATGTATGTAAAATGATATAATTGTTAATTGTTTTTGCATCTTAGTGTTAGTGCCCTGAAGACGGTTTGCCGATGTGCAACCGAAATATATCGGAAGCAAATATTAAATAAAATTGTTTTTCATTGTTTGTTTTAACAAACACGGACCTCGAGCCAGCCAACAAATATTTTGAAATATGGAAAGGTCGCCAGAGCCATCAATAAATATCAACGGAAGGCACGCCGTATGCACAGCAGCCAACATGAGCTACGCAAAAATAAAAACTAAATACAAGGATTCCAAAAGAACAATTAATAAATTCCAACTAACACTGGTAAAAATTAACTAAA